AGCTGCGCCGCGCAGAGCACTGGGCAGGTGCAGTGCCGCCTGCACGACTCGCTGCTCTCCCTCGACGGTGGGTACGGGCCGGGGGGACCGCGGGGTGAGCTTCGCTTCTTTTCCTGGGCTCCGTCTCCTCCACCCTCCCTGCTACAGCTGCGCCGCGCAGAGCACTGGGCAGGTGCAGTGCCGCCTGCACGACTCGCTGCTCTCCCTCGACGGTGGGTACGGGCCGGGGGGACCGCGGGGTGAGCTTCGCTTCTTTTCCTGGGCTCCGTCTCCTCCACCCTCCCTGCTACGAGTCTGAGCTGCCCTTGCCCCCCTGCAGGTCTGACCTCATACGGCTTGGCTCTGAGCCCCTCTCTGTGTTTGAACTCACCTGTATTCACTGCTTTCCCTCCATGGTGGGTACAGGGTGGGCCCTGCAGGGTTGAGCTCTGTTTATTTTCCTGGGTTCAGTCTCCTCCACCCTCTCTGCTGTGGATCTGAGCTGCCCTGGATTTTCCTGGGTTCAGTCCCTCCACCCTGCCCCCCTGCAGATCTGAATCCTTTCCTCCCTTTATGCTCTGAGTCCCTCTCTCTGTTTGCACCCACCTGTATTTGCTGCTCTCCCTCCATGGTGGGTATAGGGGGGAGCTGCAGGGTTGAGTTCTGCTTCTTTCCCGGGGTTCAGACTACTCCACCCTCCCTGCCAGGGATCTGAGCTGCCCTTGCCCCCCTGCAGGTCTGAATCCTTTCCTCCCTTTATGGCTCTGAGCCCCTCTCTGTGTTTGAACCCACTATATACTTTTCCTGGGTTCTGTCCCCTCCACTCTCCCTGCCATGTGTCTGAGCTGCCCTTGCCTCCCTGCAGGTCTGAAACTTTTCCTCCCTTTGTGGCTCTGAGTCCCTCTCTGTGTTTGAACCCACCTGTATTTGTTGCTCTCCCTCCACGGTGGGTACAGGGGGGGCCCTGCAGTGTTGAGCTCTGCTGCTTTTCCTGAGTTCAGTCCCCCCCACGCTCCCTGCCATGAGTCTGAGTTGCCCTGGGATCCTGTGCTGCTCTTGTGCCTCTGCAGTTCTTATCCCTCCCTGTGGCTCTGAGCCCCTCTCTGTGTTTGAACCCACTATATACTTTTCCTGAGTTCAGCCCCTCCCCCCTCCCTGCCAGGGGTCTGAGCTGCCCTTGCCCCCCTGCAGGTCTGACCCCCCCTCATATGGCTCTGAGCCCCTCTCTGTGTTTGAACTCACCTGTATTCACTGCTTTCCCTCCATGGTGGGTACAGGGTGGGCCCTGCAGGGTTGAGCTCTGTTTATTTTCCTGGGTTCAGTCTCCTCCACCCTCTCTGCTGTGGATCTGAGCTGCCCTGGAATCCTGCACTGCCCTTGTCCCTCTGCAGGTCTGACCCCCTTCCTCCCTCCCATTATTGCTCTGAGCCCCTCCCTGTGTTTGAACCCACCTATATGGGTTGAACACAGTCCCACCAACAGGTCTAGACCCTCTCCACATCTGGGTGCCTCCCTCCCCACCATGGGGCTGAACTGCTCTGGCCCCTCCAGGGGCCTCAGTCCTCTGCAGGTCCAAGTCCTTCTTGCCCCCCTCCCACCCCCAACATGGGTCTGAGCCCCTCTAATCTGCCTGAGCCCCCTCAGAAGGGTCTGAGCCTGGTTCACTCCTCCTCTGAGCTGAGCCACAATGTGGGTCCGAGTTTCCCCACCTCCATCCATGGATCTGAGCCCGTTTTGGCCCTCAGCCTTCCCCCCCAGGACTAAGCCCTCTTGGACTGACTAACTCTCTTGGTCTCATGGGTTTGAGCCCCTTTGTGTGGCTGGGACCCCCCTTGGCCTCTGTGGGTTTGAGCTCCAGTGCCCCATGGGGTCACCACAACCCCCCTGGGACTATGCATCACCCTTGTGGCACTTGGAGACTGTGGTGCTGCTCCAGGCAAGGTGTTTCCCAGCACAGGCAATCATGAGGGAATGAATGTGGCAGGAGGAAGGTCAGGGAGGGTGTTTGGAGCAGTGCCCTGAGCTGAGCTGAGGTCTCCCTACCTGCCCTGTGGGGAGGAGGTGACACAGGAGCCATGCAGCAAGGACAGGGTTAAGGACAGGTCCATCCCCGGCGTGGGACGCAGTGACCTTGCTTGCAGTGCCTGGCTGTGGCCAAAGGCACCTGCTGAGAGCAGCTTTTCTCCCTTCCTTGCAGTTCACATCCAGACATCCCGGGCTCTCATGGTCATTTCACTGCTCCTGGGCTTCTTCGGCATCATCGTGAGCGTGGTGGGCATGAAATGCACTAAAGTTGGGGAGGATGATCCCATCACCAAGAGCCGAATAGCTGTGGCTGGAGGTGTCCTCTTCATCCTCTCTGGTAAGGCAGCTCCAACCTTTGCCCCTCGGTGGTGGAGGAGTCCTCAAACCCCTTCAAAGGCTGTTTGGTGAAGGAAGGGGAAGGGTTCACTGAGGGCTGAGTGATCAACATTTGATGTCTAGTGCAAGGTGTCCCTGCTCATTGCAGGGAGGTTGGACTAGGTGACCTTTAAAGGTCCCTTCCAACCCAATCCATGCCATGACTCCACGGTTCTGTGCCCAGGTCTGTGCACACTGGCTGCTGTGTCCTTGTATGCAACACAGGTGACCTACGAGTTCTTCAGAGAGAGCACAGTCCCCATCAATGCCAGGTAAGAGCCTGGCTCAAGGCTGCTCTGCATCTGAGTCCTGTCTTGTCCCTGCACTTCCCAGTGGACCTTCCCTTGCTGGTTTTGGCAAGGTGTGGGATTGTGGGTTGATGTGTCACCTGGGTGGGACCTCTTCCCCCACCACTGCCATCATGCAGAAGATGCCCTGATGCTAAAGCTCTAGTTGTTACCAGCTGGGACAGAGGAAGGACCCACGTGGAGGTTCAGCCCAAGGGAGGGTTAAAGGAGGCCAGAGGTGTCTGAATCTGACACTGGAGGATATGATTTAGGGGTTACAGCAGTGATGGGTTAATGGTTGGACTTGCTGATCTTGAAGGTCTCCTCCAACCTTGATTCTATGACGAAAGATGGGGAAACGTAGGAACTGGATCCAGCCAACATGAAAGATGGGGATGACCAGAGGGAAAACCCCAAAATCTGCCTTGGCACCACCAGTCACCTCCTCAGGGCTTCGAGCATCACGTTACCCAGCTCAGTTTGCCCTTCTGCCTCTGTGCCCCCTCCCTGATGCTCCT